GAAATTAAGCAACAAACTGCTGAAAGAGGTCTCAGTGAAATTCCTGTATTATATTGTAAAACTGCAAATAATATAAAACGTTGCATGAATCTGTCAATAGCTGTTCTTAATGTTTATCAATTTCAATGTAAATAGATAAGATTAAAGAAAACTACTCAAAAGCTGAATTAGTTGTGGGTGAACAGGTTGTCAGCTTACAACAAGCAGGTACAATAATCTTTTGTTTCATTTTTTTAAAAAAGGAAAATATAAAAGAATATGAATATATTTCTGCATATATATTCTCGGTGAAAATGCAGTTTTCCCCCATACTACATATATATATATATATATACACACACATATATATATATATATATATAATATATATATATATACACACACATATATATATGTATATATATACACACATGCATACATATACATATATACATACATGTGTATATATACATAGATGCATATATATGCACACACATATATATGTCTATTTGTCTATATGTGTGTACCCAAAGACACACACATACATATTATTCCTAACATTTGTGATGATATTCTGCCTGACAAAGACTTCTTGAAGTAGTTTTTGTCATTTTTATGAAAAATGAAAAAAAAAAGTCTCTCACCTGTGGCGTAGTAGATTGGACTAATTATTAGACTACCACCATGGGAAGTTTGACAGATTTTTTTAAAAAGCTACATTTATGGTATTGCCTCAGTTTCTTAGGATTTTCTTATTTTTTATAAGGTAACATGCAGAAAAAAATCTACATGCAAGATGAACTAAATTTATTAGCTATTGATTATATCTGTATCCTAGGAGTGTTTACAAAGTAAAGAATACAGTGAAATAGCTTTCCTTATTAAACGTTGCTTCTGAAATTTGATTAATACTCTTTATACATACAATAAAACAAGATTTGGTCATTAAAAAAATGTAAGCTTTAGCTTCTGAATTAGTCTTGGGTGAACAATTCCTTCTTTGTGGCTCTCTTCTTCCATTGGGTTCAGGTCATAAGATACTTGATCTAGAACCTGAGTTTTTAACCTTTTCCCCTTTTGCAGCAGTTTGAGGCCTACCATGAACATTTCTTTTTAAAAATGTTTTTAAGTATGTAAAATAAAATACGTAACATTATAAAGGAAACTCGTTGTGTTGGAATACAGTTATCAAAATATTTTTTTTTTAAATTCCCAGATCTCCAGTCTAGAGGCTAGAAGGAACCTTTTACAAGGAGGAAACTTAGATCCAGACTTGCAAAGTGCATTACCCTTTGGATTATCTACATAGAAACAAAAGAAGATGCATTTCCTAGGAAATTCATGTGATATCAATATGAAACAAAATTCAAGCTTTAATAAATTGCTCTAAATATAGCTCCCTACAGATAAAAGAATGATTTGTGGCCATCTTTTGTATATAGAGTGGGTAGACTGGTGTGTGGAGGATTGTGTCAGATACTCTTATGACTGAATGTGTACATACTAGACTGAGAGAGACCAGCTGACTACAAACAGGGATAAGAAAACATATTGCTTGGCAAATCTAGAGCAAAAGTATTTTTCTTCTAGATTACAGAAATAATCATTCTGTTGTTTGTTTTTTCTTAAGCCAGAGCTAACTACTATTTATCATAAGCACATGCTGACTACAATTTATAAGTGGCATTTGAAAATGACACAGTAGAATGATATTGAACCGTGCAAAAAGTTCACAAAAACAATTTTATTTACAGTGTTTAATAGAGTATGCACACAGGTAGGACACAGGTTTGGATTCATTAAGTCTTCATGCAGAATTATATTCTCCCTAAAATAAGCCAGTTCCATCCAGGATTCACTACTTACATGCCTATGTTACAACATTTATAACAAATATGGTATCTGAAGAAAAGATACACATATAATATGTTCATTTAAGTTACTTATTTTACAGAAAGATTAAAAATTCAAATTACACGAAACTCAAAAACTGTATGAAAAATTTGAATATGAAATTGAGAGATCCCACTGGAATGCCTAAGGAGTGGAAGCTCTGTATCCACCTGTGTTAAAATCAGTAATATGTAATGAAATATTACCAATAAAATGCTTTCATCTGTTCATTTTAAGTTTTCTAATTTAGCAGTTAACAATATGGCACCCTAAGAAACCCAATGAATTGTTATGATGAGGCACTTTTGTTAGTGACTAAGCCAAAAGAACAAATTAGCTGAGTACTAATGCCAGCTGTTTTACTCGTCAATTTCTGGTCAAAACCCTTGTATAGATTACACAGCATGTTGCAACAAATACCTTGCTTATTTGCATGCAACCATCGTGTGTGTGTGTGTGTGTGTGTGTGTGTGTGTGTGTGTGTGTGTGTGTGTACACATATTTTTCTCAACTTTATGTTCTTCTGGCCATAGAAATGCATGGTGAAGACATTCCACAGTGCACATTGATGAAACCAGCCCAAAATGAAGGCTGCATAATAGCAATTCTAGTACAGAAACATATGTACAGAGTTATTGGACAGTAGATTTTGAGTGGCTGTAGTGGACTCATCCCTCCAGTTTAGAGACACTGATGAAACTGATTTAGTTCCTGGGGTTAGGGATGGTTTTTGAGGATTGGCAACAGGTATAAGAGTATCATTTTGGTTGACATTCTGGAAGTTTTCGCCATTTATTTGTTCAAGTGATTGGGATGGCATGGAAGGAAGGGGTCTGTTTGTCAAACTGAGGGTGCTAGGGGAGCTGCCTCCATCTGATCTATAGATTTCTATTTTCTTTGTGTTCTCCGGTCTATGCTCTCTGTGATCTCCTGTGTTCAGACCAAAAGTGCTAGCATGTAAGCATTCTCTTGCGAGTAATCACCTGAATGGTAATGTGTTTGTTTCAAGTAGTATTGTTTCAAATTGGTAAACTTTTGTATCATTATATGAAGTAGGTTTTCATAATTTGAATATTATAACATGTAAACTGAAAGAAACTAAAGGATGGTGGAAAAATTGTGTAAAACCAGTTACATTACTTTGTCAGATGTGCTAACCTAGAAAACCAGGTATTTCTACCCTTATCTGTAATTAAAGAAGGGGTTATAGCTAACATAATTTGAGTATCACTTATGAAAGTAATAAGATTGTTAACTAAGTTATTTGAAGTTATTGTTTCAATGTTAAAACTTAGAATTGTGAATTGATGACCAAGTGTAAAAAGCAGGGGACTGGGTAAAAGCCTTCTCCAGATTGCTTCTGCCCATTCAAAATAGTCCTCCTTGGGACACGGGGATCAGCACGCAAGGGCACCAGGATTTGCCCCTCCATGGGGTGAAGGCAATTCCCCATATTTTGTAAACTTGCCAAAGTCCCTGGAAACCATCTGTGGGGGCAATGTCATCTGCCGTGAGAAAAGTTTGTGGAAAAAGATTGTGTATCTATTCAGTTGTGAGGTTAAATTTAGGAACCTCTTTCATTTAAGGCAGTTTTTGTAAGAAATCCCCTCCCTAATGTAACCAAATCAGAGGTCTCTCCACCCCTTTTATACTGGCTACTCCTTGATGGGAAAATTTTTCTATCTCAACACCCTGTTTCTCAGTTTGTCTCCCTTGCTTGGGTGACGAGTTCTATAGGTAAAGACCCCTGTCAGGGAGGGATTGTAAATGTTTCTGCTGGTCTCGACTTGCACACCTGTAAGGATGCCTACAGTGATGAGTGACCCCAGAAATTTACTTATGCCAGCTGTACCACCTGTTCTGAGAGAACACTCCCTACTTGCATCTGTGACCCAATAACCCCTTGGACCTGGCATTGGCCAAGTTCTGGACACTGGCAAAAAAACCTTGAAGGGAGGGACCCCTGGAGGCAGGGACAGCTCTACACCAATCCCAGCAGGAAACAGTTTCAGAAGCTGAGACGTTCGTCCCTTACCCCAAAAGATTTTGGATTCTATTTATTTAAGGGGGGAATGATGGGGTGCTGGGGTGCTTGTGTTTGGGTGCTTGTGCTTGGACCCTAGTTTCCCCCTAGCCTCAGAAACACTGTCTCTGGCAGTTTCTCCCAGCCCAAGGACACTATGCCTAGAAATTACTCATGAGTGGGCCCCAGCAAGACCCTCATATCTTTCCCCGGTGCAGTTACAAACTGCACCTGAAGGAATTATTAGTTTGAACTGGTTTGCACTGGATTTTGAAGACATTCTTACCAACTGGACTATCTATACTACTGCCCTACAACATTGTCTACATCCTGGAATCCTCATTATCTGTATTTTAGACCTAAGACATGTGTATACTCCCTACATGTGTCTCGTCAAACAAGACATTGACTGGTGGCAGACTGGATAACTCTCAGTTACCCCTGACCTCTAGTTAACTTAGTGATATAGCAGGCCTAAAACCACACCTCCATGTGGCCACCCTTGTGGGATTTTCCTAGTGAAATCTGAGTAAAATGCCTGCACAGTAGATACCAAAAGCGCGTGTTCCTTTAAGAACTGACCACTCTTTTACCACTCCCTGATCCCGCCCTGAATCACATGAGCATATTTGGCACAAGTTTTATTGTATTTTATCCTATATAAACTTTAACTGTACCCCTCTAAGCTCACAGGTTCCTTAAGAATCCTTGCCCACTGTAAAGTGTAACAAAAACTTTTTGCCAACTTGACTTAAAGAATGCTTGAGTCCATGAATTCATTCCAGATGACCTCATCCTGTACTCCAGTCTTTGAGGGGTCTGAACCTGTCAGACTGTAACAGCACCATTCAAGAGAATGCTGATTCTGAAATTTCGTTTTTCAACTTTGGGGAGATTTGTTTTCAAAATTAAGGAGCTGAGTCCCATGCCACGCCTTGGACACATGGCTAAATGCTTTATGACTTAAAAAACTGGTAGATCATACCATGCTATTTCTCCTCAGGGTCTGCTTTCACAAATAAAAGAAACAGCAGAAAAACTTGAAGAAAGTAGCATCGATCTGTTTAAAATGCTCTTAAAAGAAAATTTACAGCACAGTCAACTATTTTGGCATTTACAAGAATGGGGGATTTCTGCAGACAAGGCAGCTACAGTGTGGGCAACAGTCCTCCTTCTTCCTACAGGTCCAGCTGTCCATCAGGGACACCACAGCGTCCACTAGTGACATGACCACGGGATAGACGCCTCCTGTTTCGCCTGTTGTGCAACATCAGTATAGATTTGCCTGTGTCACAAAGTGCTGAAACCCCCTTTAGTACTAGAACAAGAACTAGAGACAAAGGGAGAAGGTTGGGAAACAATATGCCCGGTTAGTGCAGCAGTACAGCAGGAAAATAGTGTTCACCAAAAGACTCTAGAAAACTCAAGCGTCACCGAGAAAGAGGGGACCAGCTGAGAAATAAGGAAGTTAACTTGGAAGAGACTGATTTTTACTAGACATTACACAGGTATGTTAAACTAGTGCCATTAGTTCTAAATATTTAACTTTGTGCTTTTAAAATGCATTGCTAGCCTTGGGTATGATAGTGATTTTTACCATTTGGAAGGTCCCACTTTCTGCCATCACAGCCACCACATATTCAGTAGCATTGATCTGTTTTACCTTGTGATGACAATTACATGGATAACTGTGAATAAAGAGAACAGGGCTATGCATGCTCATCTCCCCTCCTATGTCCAAATCTGACAGACTTGTCAACAAGCATTCCAACTCCATGCACTGCCAATAGCATTATAATCACTGGAAGATACTTAAGATCAGTCAGAAAAAGGAGAATCAGTTCATTAGTGGAAGGAAAAAAAAGGAGAAAAAGAAAAATCATAGTGAATTATTACTTATGAATTATTTGCTCTATCATTATAATACAAGCCAGTAGGTTTTTCTAGCTGACAGGTTAACACCGCCCAGGCAAAGTTACCTGATACATCTCCAGGAGATACGCCCGTCCTTCCAATGTTGGTCAGTAAAGGATCTATGTTAGGCACTGGCTGAGATTTTACAGTGTTTTCCTCCTGAACTGTTGTCTATGGTTAATAAACAAAGATCCCCTCAACATTTCTTCAAAGTTATTTCATTATACTTTCAACAACATTTAGAAAAGCCCATTGACCTTTTAACTTTAATTTTCCACACTGTTTTATCTTAAAACAACAACAGTACTTAGTACCACATTGTTAGCTACTCCTATTTTCATTCAGAAGCAAGGAACCAACTTCTGAATGCAGAGTTAACAGGGCAAATGGAACTATGGTCACATTATTGAAAATTTAGGACTCTGTCCCAAATCAAAATAACCAATCATAAAAGCAAAAAGGAACTTACAAGAGGCTCTTCTGCACCTTCTTCTGTGAAAAACCAGTCATGCTAAAAATTTAAAATAAAAAATAAGATGAGAAAACCCTCCAAATTGCCATTAGTATGGAGGACAGGATAGAGAGACAAGATCTGTGTTAAGAGAAAAGAGAAAAATTTAATTCTAAATGATCTTTCATTCGAAGAGATTTTTCTCAAAGACTAATCACTCACTTACATGTTGGATAAGGGTTTCTACAATTTTGTACTGGTCAGGCATGTGAGTCACCATATGTGTCATATTATCTTCTAAAGATCGCACAAGGGTTGGACCAAAAACAATGGCTAGATTTCTTGGTACCATCTGAAAAAAAGGATGGGAAAGGGTGGAGAGAGGGAAAAGATAGAATTGACTTATTACAAAAACAGCAGAAGTTTTCTGCCACAAAAGTAATGTGATTAATATTCAAAGAAGCTTAAATTTCCAAAAGCCAACCTGCAGTTTCTATCCGAAAGGTTGTCTTGAAGAAAACTACAAGACTGAGGAAGCTTGTTTGGCTGGTGACTCCATACTTGCACATTCACCCCCAGCTTGTATCGTCTCACTCTGTCATTTCTCCCTACCTGCAATGCCAATTCTTATCCATTTCATATCTTTCACCTTTTTAGAAACTGAGTTCAAAACACCTTTCAGGAATCCTAGGGATCCATATCAATAGTCTTAACTCTGAGTGCTTTCTGCAAATATATACTTGGTACTCTTTTAATGACATTGATTGAAACATTGTTTTGTAAATCTTTCTAAGTCTTTGCATATGGGTTGGGTACCCCCAATTTGATTATAAGGGTCTCAAGGACATGGACTTTGTGTGCATTTACTTACATTCTATTGGGCAGAACAACAGTCTATACAATATGTCTAACAATATGTCCATGGAGTAAATGCATGAGAGTTCAGGAAAGGTCACATGAATAACAAACTGTTTAAACTGAGCTTAGAAGGAAGCTAGATATTCTAAGAGGCAGAGGTGAGTCACAATTGTATTTCAGGAATGGTGTCTGCCCTGTGCAAAGGCAGGCAGATGAGAATGACAAGGTCACATATAAAGGAGCAAAAAGAGGGTAGTTTGGCTAGAGCGCTGAGTGCCGGGAAGATAGAATGTGCAACAAGCTGGAGCCAGATTGTGAAGGGCTTAAACACAGAATAAAGGAGTTTTTGCTTTTTTCTACAAACAAAACAACTAGAGCTTTGGAAGCAGCAGAGTGATGGGGTTCTATCTGTACATTAGAATCATTTTGAAAGCTGCATGGAGAATGGTTTTGAAATGAGGGAAACTAGAGACATTCCCACTGTAATAATAGTCCAGGTGAGAAACAAGGAGATGGATATAAGAGATGTTGTGAAGGCAAATATTTGGCAACTGATTGGATATAGGAGGGGACAAGGCAGAAAGCAAGTTGTGGATGACCTCAAGATTGTGACTCTGGGTACCTGAAGGATGGTGGTTCCCTCAACAAAAATAGGGACATTTGGAAGTTGTGGAGGAAAGATAAGTTGTGATTATCTAACACTGAGGTTAAGAAGGCTGTCAGACAAATACAGTCTGAAATGTTCAACAGGCAGTTCATGGGGGACCTGAATCTCAGTAGAGTGCCTGAGGCTGGATATTTACAGATGTGGGAGTCCTTCATATATATATATATTTGGTCATTCAAACCATAGGAGATGATGAGGAAAACCTAGAGAAGAGAGAATATCCAGAAGCAGGGGATGGTGAACAATTTCCAATACTGCAGAGATCAAGTGAAAGCATCCATGGAGTGCTTTCTATGTGTCAGGCCCTGGGCTAAGTAAGCGCTGCAGACAGGAGATAAAGCCCTCAAAGAGTTTACAGTATAATGGGAGTGGGATGAGAGAAGACCCTAACATTATTAAGGAAGGCTAGGAGAGGATTCTTGTGGAAGGTGGGATTTCAGCTGACACTTGAAGGAAGAATAAAACCTGGGAAGAGGTCTTTTGGCTTGGCAAACAGATCATCTGCAGCTCTGGGTTGTGGTTAAGAGGAAGGGCAGAGGCACTGAGTGCAGACAGCTTTTACAAGAAGTTTGCTTATGAAAGGGAGAAAAGAGAAAGTACCAATAGCTTTCAGGGATGCTGGGGGCAAGGAAATATTTTTTTTCCCCTTAAAGGGGAGAAGAGTAAAATACATTGTGGACAGGTGATAGTGAGAAGGGAAGAGAAGGGGAGACTGGTTTTGAAGGGAAGGGTTACCTCTTCATCAGACACTAGAACTCTGAAGCAAACATGACAGGATTTAGAGTCAGAAGATATTCTAGCTCCTTTTTTAGAGTAGGAAACTCAGGCCTTAAAATTAATTAATATGTTCAAGGTCACATAGCAGGTAGTAGTCAGTAGAGCTCGGATTTATACCTAAGTTTTTAATTGAATTATACTGTTCAATTTAAGTGAAACCACATTACTATTGCCTGGCATAATGTCAAAAAGCAAATCAAGTTCTCTTACCACCAAGAAATCTTCATGCACCAAAGATGCAAACTGCTGCAATATATACTACTAAATGAGAAAGAAGCATATCAAGGGTAGGCCAGCCAAGAAAAAAAGGGAAAGAAGTGCTGGGAGAAGCTAAGGATCTTTTTTTTTTTCCTGGCAGATACCAGAGGCAGAAAGGAAACTAAACTGTGAGGTTTACATAAACGGGGGCCTGGAGCATACCACAGCATTCCCTGTGTTGGAAAGGTTTTTTTGTTAATTTCTTGTTTTTGGTTTGTTTTTGCTTATTGGTGAGGTAAAAGGGTTAAGTGACTTGCCCAGGGTCACACAGCTAGGAAGTGTCAAGTGTCTGAGGTTGCACTGGAACTCAGATCCTCCTGACTCCAAGGCCAGAGATCTATCCACTGTGCACCAAGCTGCCCCTGGAAACTCTTTTTAAACTATTATGTTTTTAAAGGTTCAAAGTCATCCATCACCACACAATTCTTTCTGTTAATCTTTCCCACTCCTATCATACTGACCCGGCAATTATGAGCTGTGTGAAGGCCAGGAGATGAGAAAGACAGACATATCTAAGGAGTAGGAAGAAAAATATCTGAACCATCAGAACTAGTTTACATCTGTGCCCTTTCTTTCTGCTGTTTCTAGATCTGGGGACCTACTTGGTGATTAAGCCAGCTAGACAAATTCGTACCCATTCCTTTTTCATTAGAAGTCTACTTTGGATTTTGTTACATAGACCATAAAAGTTTTGATTCAAAATGTTAAAGAATATTTCTAGAATTCTTTATTTACCTACCTTGTTTTTTTCTATAGTGCCAAAGTTCCATGAAAGCAGAGGCTTTGGCTTTACCATTTCCTCTCCTTTCCTGCCCTCAATACCGACCACAAGATCAGTTATATCCATATGTATAGTTTTATCAATATGTGTGTGTGACATGCTCAGCAGAGATTTGTTGATTTACTAAAAACATGTAAATAAAGGTAATGTATACTAACATGTTTAAAAATTCTGTCTGGGGAGAGTAAGAAATGTTATTCTGAGCCAGAAATAAAGGGAGGGAAACAATGTTAGTTTGGCTGAATGGCAATAAACTTGTTTCCATGGATTCTAAATAGCAAAATTTACCCCCCAAAATCCCAGTTTACTACCAGAGAACTTTACTTCCACTTTAATTTTCTTTAAATTAAAACTTAGGTGTTCATTCAACTGGGTTTAGAGAAGATAACTTACCATTTGTGAAGAGAGGCTCAGGGAGTTTTCTGAAGAACAGTTTCAGCAGACTGCTGATAACATTCAAGTCTTGCCATTTCTAGGCATGCAGAAGGGAAATATGTAATATGTCACAGTCACCATAACATTCTGAAACATGAAAATGAATGAATGAACTTACATCATCCTGTAGATTGATGTCAGCCATTCCTTTGCTGAGTTCTTCTTGCATCCTATAGATGGCAGCATGATTTCCAGGAACTCTATAAATCCCTGTATGGTGAAGTCCTCTTTCCTTAATCAACTGGCAGCAGATCTCAACTATGCGTGGAATGTACTACAAAACAAAAAGAGATATTCTTATTTTTAGAGGCCTCACATGATCATATTAAGCTATTATTTATCTCTACATAAAATATGTTTCTCAAAAAAAGATTTGCTCTTTAGGTCATGTGGAGAATCAAAAGAATAGTGAGTTCGGTTGTAGCTGAGTTAAACATATTTGGACTGCTGAGATGGAAATGAGGATGTAAGAGGGGAAGAGTTATCTGATAGAGTAATTGGTGTGGGAGTCTGGAAGATTTAGTTTCAGAATCCTGCCTTCAGCATTTATTAGCTGTGAGAATGGTGGGCCAGTGACTTCCCTCTGCCAAGACCCAGTTTCCATGAAAAGGGTCTAATGATGACTGCAGCATCTTTTTCACAGGGTTGTTATTGTAAAGCTTTGTAAGTCTTCAAGTGCCAAATATGGTTGTTCTGATGACTGTCAAATGACTGGATATGTTCTGGCTGGGCAAAGAACACTACAAGTCAGGCAATTAGCTCATGAACAGAGTATGGGGAATGCAAATTGCTCTTAAAGAAGGTCAACTTTACTTCAGACTTGAAATCTAGCTTTTTACACACCTCTCCCAAACACATATTGTAATCAAGCAAATTCAATGCATACTGTCTTCATTAGGCTTCTGTTTTACAAAATGCACATTGATTTAATGCCTCAAAAAAGATATTGGCCTGCCAGCTGTTTTCTAAACTTGGCCTCTTGTTGAGGGCAGAGACTAACCAGGGGACTGGCAGGGACAGGGGGCGGGGTTTAATGGAGAGAGGTAGCTGCTCAAATGAGGCTTGCAGGAAGAACAGGACTTCCAGAGGTTCACTTAGGGATGTCACTCTGGCTTGAGTGAACAGATGCTCGTAGCACATCAAACTTCAATTTGGGGATACAAAGTTAGTATACATCTATACGGAGCACAATCCTAATAAAGTTTCAGAAAACAACAGGCAGGCTTCCAGAAATGATAGTGTCTTTAATGTAATCCATCTTTGTGGTAACTAATGGCTAAAAAGGGTAGCGAATGCAATATTCTGCTGCTTCTTGACTATCCAAACTGTTTCCATTTGAATTGTCTTAGGAAGATTCTGAAGATCACCTGGCAAGATAAGGTACCCAGCAACTGATGTCCTCTCTGAGGCTGACCTGCCAAGCATTCAAATCCTACTGCAGAGAGCACAGCTCCCATGGGCTGGCCACATTGTGCGAATGACTACCATATGTTTGCCGGAAAGACTATTTGATGGAGAACTAGCACAAGGCAAATGCTCACGCACAGGTTAGAAGAAGCAGTACAAGGACACTCTCAAGGTTTCTCAGAAGAACTTTACTATCAATTGTGAGACATGGGAGATGTTGGCACAGGACTGCCCAGCCTGGTATGCCTGCATCCAGCATGGCACTAGGCTCTCCACGAGCCAAGCAGAAATGCAGGAGCACAAGGGAAACGTGACATGTGTGCGTTTAGAGATATCTCCACCCCAAATGTTCAAATGGACTGTTTGTTCC